GGCCCAGGCGTCTCGCAAATGGCCGTTTCGGAAGTCAGGAGGCCGCCAGGGCCTCTCCCTGCGGAGCACTGCCCCTCCTCAGCCGTGTTTGAAATGCCCCCGCGTAACTCGGCTGTGGCATCGGTTTTAATCGCGGTTATTAATTTAATCGAGGCTGGTCGTGTAGCTTGTTTAGTTCTTCTGGGTTATTTTATTCGCCCCCGCCCCCCGACAGGTCCTGTAAGCGTAGTCTTTGGTTTACGTGCTGCGCACTGGCGTGACCGCGGCGCTCTTCTGTTTATTTGGGTGTTTCTCGCCCCTCCGCCCAGCTGGAAGCCTGCGCGGGCAGGGCTCGCTGGCCGCCGCTGCCTGCCTGCCCTCCTCCCGGTGCTGGGCTGCGGCGCTGGTCACATGCCCGAGGTGGATCAGGGAGCCGGGAGGCCGAAGCCTTACCCTGTGCCAACATCGGTGCCGAACAGGAGAACCGTGTTTGAAGGCGTTTTGGCTTTTGACAGCTGTGGTTTTGCCTCATCTTAAATGAAACCCGTGTTTGGTCTAATTAGAGTACTTAACTAGATTTTTCTTAATGTCAGATTGACTGCATGGCATTGTCACCTCTCTTGCTGTAGTTCCCTCCTCCCCACGTGGCCTGTAATAATATCTGCTGAGGGAGGTTATGTCATCCAGCGCTTCTTAACGCTAGCTGTGCTTCAAGATGCAAAGAGGGATTGTAGCTGATCTTGCAGTAAGTAACGTGGTTAAACATGTTCTGCTAAAGCTCTGCCTGTGAAGGAGTGTGCTGATCTGTCATGGTATTGCAGAAGTGGTCAGGTCACCTGTTCCCATAAGACAAATGCCCTTGTCCTAAGGAGGATCATTGTCTTCGTGGGAGGTATGAACTGTTCACTCTGCTATCGGTTCCATGATAGGGAAGAGTGAGGCAAGATGTCTTGGCTGCTAGAGTGTTTGTCCTGCACACTCTCTTTCAGAGCTTAGAATTATACCTGGCCCCTGAAAATGAAGGATGAGGGACAGAGAGCATCTTTGTACTCTTGTTTCTGGATTTTATATCAGTGACATAAGAGGAGTGCCATTTGTAAGCCTTTAGGCCTGTAGTAAAAGGTTATCTTACCAGGTAGGTATTTCAGCAAGGGTTGTTTACAGTCATAGACTAGGCTAATTAAAAGGTGTCAAATAGGTGAGGGAGGCCTGTTTACACTTCTCTATGGTTGGGCAACTGTGGTGTTCACAATACTAAAATAAAACTGATTGCTGACTGAAATAACCCTTGATAACTAGTTCCTTCACTGTAGGCAGCTGTCTGCAGGTGAAGTAACACTGGGGAGCCAGTCTACATTGTCCTGGCTAATATGAAGTATTGACCTAAGTCTAACTGCAAAATTTCTTTATCTCTCTCTTCTTGTGCTAGTGTCTAGAAGAATGACATGCCTCACTTGCGTTGAGACTTATGCTGTTTTCTGTCATGGCAAGGAGAAGTCCTCAGTTTAAAAACAGTAAATATCCCAGTGAACCCTGGCATGTCTCTCTGAATAGTTAAACGTCTGGAGTGGTATGCCATCTGCCCTTGTCTTGTTCTGGGCTGCTCTTCAGGAGAAGAGCAAAACTTGATTTGGAATCTTGAGCTTCTTCATCTTTTGAAGCAAGCAAGTCATAGCATGCAGGGGACATAACAGGATGCTAAGAGGCAAACTTGAGGAGTTTGAGTGTTTGTAGTGGTTACGTATGTTCAGCTTAAAATGTATTGAATGACTGTGTCCTGGCCTGGAAGGAGCAGAGATGCATAGCACTGGGGCAAGCTCCTTGTCCACAAGGAAAGGTTTTTCCCTCTACCCATATTTAGTTTTACCTTCTACTTAAAAAAAAAAAAAGTACTTCTGTGAACTTACCTAGCCAGAACATCTGAGTAGAATGTGAAGCTAAAGCCCCAACTTGGCACCAATATGACAATTAATTGCTGCATACTCACTAGTAAAAGCAGTGAATACCTTGCTCAGCTCTTGGTAGCTTCTTCATCCCTCTGTGAACTCCTGCTTCTTGCTTGGCTAGGTTCAGTTTGAACTACTGCTGCAGATGTTTTGACATATCAGTAGTGTCCGTGGCTGCACCACTTGTAATAAGAAAGACAGCTGCTACAGTTTCATCTAACCATAGTTGGACAGAAGTAAGTATAGCAAAGATTTTTGCTGTATGTGTATAAAGTATGTTAGACTTGATCACTCTTCCACCTTTTCATGTAAACATACTAATACTTCTGGCCTCTCTTGGGAGTCATGTTCAACTACATGTAATACATCTTAAAGACTGGAGTTTCTGAAGACTCAATGCAATGCTGGGAGGTAGATTAGTGGCAGATTCCTCAGACTGAGGTTTTTACATAGTGGTGAGAGTTTACCTAGAATTTAAGAGATTTTCTCAAGTTACTGACTTTTTTTTTTTCCCCAAAAGTTTGGTTTGCTAACAGGAAACTGCTAAAACTTTGTACTTTACTTTTTGAGCTTGCTTGTTTTTACTCTTTGCCCTCCCCTTCTGTTCCAGGGTTCCTTGGAAATAACACAGAGTTTGGAAGATGATCCGCTACTGGATGCACCGCTCATTTCATCTCATACATTGCATTCCCAACTGAGGCCAAGATTTCATGCAATCCCAGCAGTTCTCCTTGCCAATTTTCTGTTGCTAATACATGTAAGTTTAAAAAGTATGATTTGCTTATGAAAATTTGCTGTCTATATTCTGAATTCTTATTTTTCATGTGGACAGAATTCTCCTGAGACTTGCATGCACTGTTTTTCCAAACCGATGAAGTCTTATTTGCCAATGAATCTTCATAATGTATATGCTACATGATATTTGCTGTGTTCTCATTCTGATTGTTTGTCAGAGCTAACATGCTGTGACACATCTTGTTAGGAAGAAAAGCCTTTTAAATAGTAATTCTGCTATGCGGTTTGAAATGTACTTTTAAAATAATATTGCTGCTGTAGAAGTGCTTAGACTAGTTATAGAGAGCCAAGATAATTTTGATGCCATGCCTTTTTGGAGGCTGAACTTAATTTCACAGGGAATACTTAACTAAAGAAGTAAAGTTGGACTTGCTCCAGGGGTTTCGTGTGGTGGTGGATGGAGAGATAAAGGGCACCAAATGTTACTTCCTGCTCTGACTGACTTCTAGGGCTTAAATGTGAAAAGCACAGATAGCTGGTCTTGAGCCTAACAGTATGAAGGGTTTTTTGAGGCTGGTGGAAAGACTCCTGACTAGGAGCGAGCTTATCCTTGATAAGCTGAAGAGGCTGCCTGTGGGTGTGTGGAAACCAAACATGAAGGAAGGGTGAAGAGCTCTGATCCTAAGATCTAACTGAGAAGGTACTTGTGTAATGCCACTAAAACTAACCTGAAGATATTATATGCGTAAAGCCAGAGAGTGCACAAGACATGTATGGATGTGGTGCTAGCTATTTCAGAGCTTCCTTCAATCTCAAACCAAAAAATGTGATGCCCAGTGCTCTGCAAACGTATGTTCTGCCAGAACTTTAAAAGCACGTACCAGTCTCTAAGGTCTCTTTGGGCAGCCGCATAAAGCTATTCAAACAATATACCTTGGCTTTTTAAATTTAGAAGTAAATGTTTTGTGGGCCTCTTAGTAGTATCAAGAAATGTCCCTCTGTGTGTCAAGTAGACTTAGGAAAGACTTCTGCTGAACAAACTACCAAAATTCCCAATGGAAAGTGTGTATCCAGCCTCTTTCAAACAATGCTGGTGCATTAGGATGCACTTGAAGTCTGCGTTACAAAGGTAGACACTGCTATTGGCAGTAGAGCAGCAAATGTTTTTCCACCTAGTCTTGGGGCCTTAATGTCTACTATCATAACTGATGTAGCCAAACATTCAGTCACCCAGATCCTAGGAAACTGCTCCCTCTTCTGTCCCTGCTACTTCCCCTCTCCTGCAAATGGAGAGAAGTGTGGGGAGGTGAAGGGAGACAAAACTGCTGAGGCCTCTGTCAACACACACTTTTCCAGGTAAAGTCTTGCTGCTATTGCTGAGCCTGCTGCAGTGGCCAGTTGGTCCTTGGAGCAAAACGGAGAAGTATCCTTTTCTGTTGGTGAAATACAGGATTATAATTGCCACATGAAATGGTGCTGTCTCTCTTGTTGAAAAGATGGATGGGGAAAACAAGCTTATTGGATGTCCTTTCCCTCTGCTTCTGCAAACGTGCACAAACCTTGTGGAACATGGAGACACCAGGTTAGCTTCTGATGCGCAGCCTGCCAAAGGGGCAAGTATCCTGGGGAAGTTAAGGCATCATATTTCTTCTCCACCCTCCTGTGCCAAGAAAAGGGATTAGGCAGAAAATGGATGCTTCGGTGTAGCTGCCTAGTTACATACAGTTCTGGAGTGTGGGGATAAGATATGCTGGAGTGTTGTGGGGCTGGGTGTCTGAGTGGCTTTTGTTTTGCCAAGCCTTGGATTTTCTGCAGGCTTCTGGCTCCTATTAGGATACTCTGGAGAGCAGTGTAAAGTGTACAGGCTAGAAATAATTATTTTTGTATTAACTCTGTCTTTCCTTAATCCCCTTTGTATGCACATACACAAAACTGAACTTAAATACTACTCATTGTAAGAATAACTTTTTCTATATAAAAATCCCCTGTACTGGGGTGAAACACCTGTTGTTGGACTACCCTAAAATGTAAGCAAAGCATCTTTATTAAACACCACTTTTAAAGCCAGCTACCTATCTCCTCTTTTATACGCTGCTGTAGTAGATTAGTAGAGCTGCAATTCTAGGCCATTCCAGCTTGCATCTGTTTAATGTAGCCATTTTCTCTACTGAAATACATTCCTAACACTTAGAGGGTGTAGAACTAGATGTGTTACTGTTTTTAAAAGGCAAACCAAACTGTAATTGGCCAAATAAAATATGGGTTAGCTGGATTATTCTTAGTTTTGTAAGAAAATGAGATGGTAAAATAATAGATTAAACAAATGTTTTGTTGATAAACCTCCCTCTCATTTCACTTGTTAATCTAGCTTCTTAACCCATCTCAAGATAGTTTGGGACTTAATTTGCATTGGAAAGAATGGGTTTATGGATAATGTGAGACACACTCCTTTTTTTTTACCTCCCATCTTCTACCCTGTCTGACCTCTATGTCTCTTTTAGGTATTGATGATCATTTGGAAGTTGCTCCCTCTTCTTCCTCCTTCCCCAATTACTTAGCTTGCTCTGGTTGTGAATAGAGTTAAGGGCAGTTCATATTGAGAGTAATTAAGTGGTTCTGAAAGGTTAATTTCTGTGAAGAAAGTTCCTTGAAAAATGACAAAAATATGAAAAATAACTTCAAGGGAGTGGGAAGGAGGCAATGGGCTCTTAGTTATCCAAAAAATTAAGTATGGAATCAAAGCTAGCAAATGGAAGTCAGACACTTTCCTCCATCTTCAGTTCTCATGTGTTGTTTCTATCAGTTATGAGATGCAGAACACTGGACACTTTAAGCTAAGTATATTAGAGATGTTAGACTTTTGCAGACTTGAGGCAGATTTTTTGTTGTTGTATATAGAAGCTCTCAATTTACTTCTGTATTGGTGGGAGTTGTTTTTTTAGTTCTGTTTTAAAATATTCCTATTCTGTAGAAGGAACCAGGATAAGAAAATATAATATTGTCTTGTTCACTGAATAAAACAGTAGAGAGTATTCTCTGTGATAAAAACATTCTTTAAAGATTAAGAAAGCCCTGTGGGTATACATATAATCCAGATAATGTGCACCCGAGGCTGCCTTCTAATTGGCCAAAAGATTGCTGATGCTCACTGCTGATGCTGAAAACTTGGAGAAAACTCTAGAAGACAAGAAAAGTTATGGCATAATGGCACTAGTCTGAAAGCATAAGTGTATATATAATCTGACTGTAGTCTGGTCATTCCGACATACATTCTGGGCAAAATGGAAAAATCTGATAGTAAATATACTAAAAAGTCATTACCAACTGGCAAAGATGTCTACTTACTGTTAATAATTCACTTTTTAAGTAACTGTGATGGTTCACTTTTTTCTAATGTCATAGCCTGGAGATTATCTTTACTAGTAAAGAGTTGATTTTCAGTTACAACATGTCATTTACAGAAACATAGACTATACCAATAAGATATGAGGCAGAGCAGTAACAAGTGTAATTGAGTCTAAAAAGATTTCTTTGTTTTGAGGGAGTATAAATCAAATTCCTCTTAAAGTAAAAAGACGTAGTAAAGAGGGTCCAGAAATAAGACAAATCCACAGTGAAGGGGAGACTTTGGAACACTGAAATAGATTTAGAGGAAATTTTGCAAAGAGTGGTGATTCTTAGCTTTGCTGGAGACTGGTTGCTCTCCTGGAAGCCAGTCTTACTACTTGGCCATTTCAGTCATCAGCATGTTCCCAGAATGACACGTAGTGGTTGTAGTAAGTGTCTAATGTTTTATATGTTATCTCAACTCTACTAAAATCAATTGAGAAAGCAATGCATAATGAATAAATTACATAATCCTGTCTTTTTTATAGTTAAATGTTGACTTAAAGTTTTCTTCTCTCTCCCTTTCTCTTCCAGGTTGCTTTTGTTGTTCTAGCATTTTTAGCAGCTATGTTTTGTTCTTACCCCAATCCATATCAGGATAAGTGCCCTGGAAACTATATTCACCCACTTAAAGTGCAGACTGTCATAATAATTGCAAAAGTAATTCTGTGGATTCTGCATGTTTTTTTTGAACGATACATCCAGCACCACCACAGTAAAGTCAGAAGCCGAGGTTACTTCTCGATATACCGATCAACAAGACATCTAAAAAGGCTTCCACTGTTGATACACTCCACAGGTGAAGTAAACTTGTTTTCCTGGGTTTTTTTTCTTCTAAAACTTTAAACTGTAACACAGTAAAAGGCTGAACAGTGTATATATATAAAAATACATATTATGAACTTCAAAAAATCTGTCTAAGAGCATTTATAAATGGTAATTTTTCTAGTCAGATGGACCTCCTGACTGACCTGTCTGGCCTGCCAGATGCGTGCTGTGAAGAACTTTGTAGTAGAAAAATGCCCACAAGTGTGAGGCTGAGTAAACAACTAGTCGTTCGCATTTAGTCTTCAGCCATAAACTGTTCAGCCAGCAAGGTCTGTGTTTGGCTGCAGTGATCTCCATTTGCATACTCATTTTTCTGGTTGGATATGCGGCAAGACTGCTCGTTCTTCCAGGCAGTGTGCTTCTCTCGTCTTTTCAAACTCAGCAATTCAGGTAGAAATAGATGAGTTGCCTGTTGCTCGACAGCTGTCTGAAATGAGTAAAATAAGTGATATTCTGATCTTCAGTGAGGCTATGTGTAACATTCAGCTCTACTTCTGACTGCCTTTTTCTACTTCCTATGGACAAAAAGGGTGGTGTATAGGAGTGGTTTAACTCTATTCTAACTCGCCAGCAAAGCTGAAAGAAGCGTTGGTACGGTTCCAAGCTGGTGTAGCTCTTCTAACAGAAACTGCTTCAACAAATCTAAAATCCATCTATCTTGAGGGTACTTTTCACACAGAAATAGCAGTGGAAAAGGGAACACTGGTGGCTTTTACAGCATTTTTGCTTCTTATAATCCCACCTCCCTTCTGTAAATCTCCTGAATGACTGGAATAGAATTTTTTTCACCAGAATTGATGTTAGATGGTCCTGCTTTATATAAACCTCTAGCTTTGTTTCCACTCAGTCACTAAAATAGCTAGTTAACTTGGTGAATGTGTGAAACTTCAGGCTATGGCCACTAGATAGAGCTCTGAAGGTAAAGATGTGTTTGGAGTGCAGCGACAAATTCGGACTACAGCAGGCTTAAGGATGTTTCAAAAGAGTAAAAGGACTATTTCTGCTTATTGCAGTGCAATCTGGAATAACTAGCCCTGTTTTCAGCCTTAGATGAAGCCCATTTCTCCCCTAGCAGACAAACTGGGCATGTGTTCAGGAGCTATCACTTGTGTGCTGTGGAGTCAATGTAAACAGTCTGGAATTGGGAAGGTGGCTAACTCTATTATTGCAAACTCCCTGCCATGCTGATTGCTGCTCCTAACACTTCCATCCTGACGGTTTGGTTGCCTAACACAGTATGAAAGATAACTGTACAGTCCCTTAGCTACATTAATGGTCTTGATACACTTGATGCTCATCCAGATGCTGGTTATAGCATTTCTACAGGAAGCAACTAATTGTGATCATTTCAGTTAAACTCTCAGTGATTTGCAAGTATTAAAATAATACTTAAGTGACTGGAAACCTATGCAAATATCCCCTTGTGAAAGGAAGGTGTTTAGGTTTTTGCTCTGTTAGCCTCATTTAAATACACTTAAATCTACCACTTGAAGGAAAATACCTTCTCACTTTGACTCATGCGACCTCTTAAGAATTGAAAGAAAAGAATAGTCTTCAGGCAGTTTTGGGGGACGGATAGCAGCAACAAGGCTAGAAACTGTTTAAACCCACACATGTATATTAGGTATTTCTAGTGCATTTCTTCCACTCCTGTTTTTAAGCCACAAAAATCTAAGATGATGTGAAATTCTCTACTTTTACAATCAAGTGCTGAAATGAAACCTCATTTTGCTGCCAGCAGTTGTAAGCTTCTATCACCTGTGTTAAGGAAATTAGCCAAAGAGGCAAGTATGGTATGAAATGAAAAAGCATTACTGAAATGTTGCAACCTAATACAGATACTGGGGATGAGAGCACTAAGTTATTTTCAACAGCTAAATAAATTGTTAAACCTTTAAAATATTAACATTTGTTTTCTAGGTAATGCAGCCCTGCTTTTGATTCTGTCAGTGCAGCATTCCTTTCCTGATCATGGTAAAGTGTACCTGTACCTTATCCTGGGAGTCCTGGGTGTAGAGCTGATTAGCTCCCTGACCTGCTTAGTGATTTACACAGGTAAGAGAGGCAACTTTTTGCCTTCTTGAGTGAGACTTGCTATAGCTGCTACTCGGCTGTTTTGTTTACCTTCACAGTAGCTCGCTTGGGGTACACTGAGACATTGAACTGCAACTATAAATACAGAATGATTCTGTGCTTGTAGAAGGAGGACTAAGGCAAATTCAAAACAAATAGGAAGGTTGTCAGGCTTGATTTGGTCGCTGAATGCTGCTTAATGAAAGTTCTACATGACCTCAAAGCTGTTGATCCAGTGAAGTGGCAATAAACGCATAATTGTTGCAAAGGTGTCCTGTCAACAGGCTCGTCTGCTTAGCAGCGTGTTCTCAAATGCATGCATGACAAGCTGTGAAGCAGTAAGAGCTATCTGGCTTTATCAGAACTGCTTCTGGGATATGCATGTAGGACTTGCATAGTTGATAGTGTCATGTGCTTTGCTCTCCAGGCACTACTTCTTTCCCTGGTCCTGCCCCAAATGCTTCAGTTCTTTTTGTCACTAAAATGGAAGATTCCCTCTAATGAATGTTGTGGTTTTTTTTTTAAAAAAAAGGTTTTTGGTATCTGTGCTAATACTAAAATAAGATTCTGCTTCATAAAACTGTGATGCATTGCTTTGTACCGTCACTGTTGGCTTGTAAGGCTGTCTGCTTTGAGGTTTGGTGTAATTTACCAAGACTTGATAAACCTTTTTCTATTAAACTATTGGAGGAGTATCTAAAATGTTGATTAATAAATGCTTGAACCAAATAGTTTTCTCTCATCTTAAAAACTACTTTGGTTTATGGCTTGCATTAACCTAAATGAAAATAACTAGGTTGAAAAAGAAATTAGAAAAGGTAGCAGACACTAGAAAATGCAGTTATTTTTGTTGTCTGAAGAAAACTAGAGCTGTTTACTCTGAAAACCGTGTCTATTTAAATGACATGCGGTTCCTGCTCTTGAGTTAGGTAGTTTATACTCGTGTTTCTGAGATGCTGCTTTCTGATTATTTACAGCTACAAACAGGGAGATGACATAGCTAAGTAGCCTCAGTAGCATTGTTTCCCTGGAGGGGAAAAAAAAACAACGAACCAACCAATGGGCAAAACTTACTTTGCTCCTGACTTCTAATCAAACAGGAGGAAGGAGAGTGGAAGTATCTCCTTCAGGACTGCATAAAGCTTAAAACTGAAAGTAAAAGCCATTTCTATGCGGGTCAGTATTTGGGTTAATCTAACTTTTTTGTGGTTCCATAATTGGTAATTAATCTAGGATTATTTTCTTTTGGAGAAGAAAACTTTGGTATGTTATTATAATGTAATGGCAGAGAAATACTGCAAAGTAGCTTGGTCATCTAGGAAATAAAATCTATTCTTGACTCTCCTGCAACACCACTGGAATTAAAATGCACTGAGAAATAAGATCTCAGCTCTGAACTATGTCCTCCTCTTACAACTGTGCAGAGGCCTGAATGCCATAGGCTTGTCAGGCTTTCCCTGAATGGACCAGCATGGCTCAAATGGAGTAACTGTTCTCTGGAGGAATAAAGGCTGTGATGAGGGAACACAAGCATGGCAGCCCAAAAGAACTATTCTAAGAATGCTGGAGATCATCCTTACTTTGCGTATGCATACTTACTTTCCTGGGAAACTCAGGAAATAAAAGAAATTCCAAAACTTTAATAGAATGTCAGGAATTCCAGTGAAATGTTATTTCTTACCCTGAGGCCTCTAAGAGCTCAAAGAGCTACATTGTGAGTCTCTTAGCCTGGCAGGAAAGGATAAGCAACTGCAAGAAAGTTGACCTTTGTAGTAGTAAGGTCTGAGCCTGGACTTCCGTAAGAGCTCTCAAACTATCTTTCTGCTTTTTTGTCACCAAAAGGATCTTGTGTCCTAGCTTGTACTGTGCTGGTTTCTGTGCCCATCAAATCCGTTAACCGACTTATGCTAGGAAGTTGTGGGGTGCAATATTTTGCTTTCCAGAAAAGAAGGCTTGAAGGGTCCAGTGAGTCCTGGAACTGAAGTGAAGGAGGGACAGAGCTGTACTGCTAGAAGGAGTAAGGCAGTCTCTTTTGGCAACAGCTACCTTATTTCCTCAGCAGCCCCAAAACAACAGTCTAAGCTTCATTCTATGAAGTTTGCTATGCAAAACTAGGGTTAATATTTGTGTAATGTAACACTTGCCTCAAGATGGAAAGATCTCCAATCACCCTAGGTTGCCTTCCAGTGGGTAGTGTGACTTGTTTTCTTGTTTTCCATCCCAATACATGTTGAGGGTAAGTGAAGAGGCTGCCTGCATATCTGTCTCTTGGGTTTAGTGGTTTTTTAACATTTTTAAGCATCAAACTAAAGCTCTACTGAAGCAAAACAAATGTATTTGGCCAGTTTTGAAAATAGCCTGAGAATCTGCAGTAGTAGTGACACTCAGATATCTAATTTTTTTTTTCTCTCAAACAGAGCAGAGTATGTGACTGGAAGCATGAAGCTAGGGTAATTTTATGGGCAACCCTCTGCTCAGGGTTAGAGTGCCCCTCTCCAAGGCAAGCACTTAGCAGGTACCACTTACTGTTAAGATAGTATCAGCTAATGTAGCTGAGCAACAATGGTGAGATTAAGGTCACTTTACACTAGCAACTCATCAGCCTCTTCCTTGTTTCAGTATATTACTACTAAATTTTGGAGGGAAGGTAGCACCAGTTCATAACGTTGTTTCTCCACTGTGGAATAATTTTTTTAACTCCTAGAACAAGATAAAAATGCTTAACTGTAGAAGGTTCATGTACCTGCTTATTTTTGTTTAAGTATTAACTGCCTCCCAAATGTAAGCGGTGGCATGGAATACCTGATTGTAATTCTAGATATTTCGTCTTGCTTGTTGGAGCTATTTTATTAATTGTTTGATGCACAATGTCCCATGAAGTACAACTGCCTTTCTTAATCTCCATTCAGCAGTGTATGCATATATAGCTGTAGGATACAGAGGCAGGGATTCAGAAATCAACAAGGAATTGCTGTGACTGACCTAGAACAGACTTGACATAGATAAATTGTTCGAGTTGAGGTAAATGTGCATGGAATGAAGTATCATAGACAGCTCTAAATGTCAGCTTAGTACTGTAAAGTTGTTATCGGTAGGACAGGGAGTTAAGTCAAACTTTAAAAGGTTTACTAAATATATGTATTTAATTACTTTCGTACATACTTCTAGTATCACTTGAATAAAAGACTAATATTCCCACAACCAATGCATGTTGGGAATTCCACGTCCATTCCTTTATGACTTTATTTGTAGAGGAATACAGTCACAGAAATAGCTAACCTTTGAGCCTAACTTATAGTTAACCTCTGGAGGGTCGTAGCATTGTTTTAGCAGGGTGGCCTGTAATAAACCCCATCATATTATTGACTTGTAAGGACAGTCTTTCTCTGCAATAGTGTGGATTTCTCATGGAGCCAGGCTGTAATGTTGGTTTTAGTGGCATTAGATGTATTGCTTCACAAGCAGCCTGAAGTGCAGAGTCCAGAATGCATACTTGGGATCTCAGTACTTTTCCTTAATCAGGATTGAATAGCTTTGAGTATTTTCAACTTCCTTCCAGAAGTAACGCGGAGGATGCCTACAGCTTCTCCCAGCCCCACGCGTCCCCATTGCATATCTGTTTAAAACACAAACTTTATTCACAGGAATAACTGTGCCCAGGAATGACTTCTGGTTTTGATAGCCAATGTTGCAAGATTCACAATGTGAAGCTGATGATATTGCCAATCTGGTTTGAATACTTCATGGCTTCGTGTAGCAAGTCTGCTCTACTTTTAGAGCAGACAGACAAGCTGCTGCTTCACTGCAGGTAGTCTAGTTAAAATAGTATTTATCGAAGAGCTTATGTTAGAAGTTCTGACCTTGATACTAGTTATCAAATTTTTTTTACAACTTTTACGGCATGTTGCTTAATTTATGGCCTACTTTGGAGACTGAATCTCAGTACCCTCTCAAAGGCAACAAAAACTTCACTCTCTTAGGTGACAGATGCTGATGTTAAGCAGTATATTCAAGCTTCCCTGTTCAGGTTTTCACTTCACTGAGGTCTTTTAAGCTGCAGGGCTGGCACAAAAAAACCTACTCCACCAAACCCACCACTAGCTTACAATCAAAGTCGTTTCAGAAATGAGCAAAGATAGATTCTGCTTTTTCTTTCCTTCTTTCACCACTCCCCAGACTCACTTATCTTTCCATCTCCTCCTATCCTAAGGCAATCTTATAATAATGTGTTAGAGTTTTTTTAACTTGGAGCCTAGTGATAAAGCTTTTCTTTTTTTGGTTACTTTCCAACTAATTTATAAAACTTTTTTGCAGTGAAAATAAGCAACTTCAATCGTGCGAAGCCAAGACCTGACATAATTGAAGAAGAAAAGATGTATGCCTACCCTAGTCACATTACCTCAGAAATTGGATTCAGGTAAGATTTTTTGTATTCATTTTGTGTTGTGTTCAGCCATGGTATATAGGTAACACTGGCTAATGTAATTGCATTACTTTCTGTGGACTTATATATTATCTTAAATCTGTCAACCAAAACAGAGTTAGAAAGAGTAGTTTTGAAGGAAACTATATGCTTAAACTATATGCTGTTTTACATGCACAGATGAGAAGTAGCACAATCTTGTGCTTTCTATGTAGTAATGGCAATTTGTTGTGATACAGATATCCTCAAACATGAGGACAAAAATGATTTCACCATTTATGGCTGGTTGCATGAATCTTTAATGTGCTATAAATAACTGTGCTTAGTCTGTGTTAGTTGACTTTATATGGGAGTTTGAGGAAAGATACTGGTGTCTTACACCGTTACTTAAAGTATGCCTACAGAGGCCTAGCTTCTTCCACCAGTTTCAGGCAAGGGAATATATTGTGGGCAGCTGACAGATAAGAAGAAAACTTTGCAGCTTTGTTCTGTGTAGTTGGACGTGAGAGTCTAGCAAGGGATTTAGAGTGTTTTTCAAGTTTGGGAAGGAATGTTAAAGGTAGATAGGGCCCTTAAGAGGTAAGGAAGTTCTTAGTGAGACAGAGAAGCTATCCAACATTAACCTCACAAGCACTGACAGTTATTGCTTGTCTGTCCTTTGTGTACGTACCTTCTGACTACTTGAACGTCTTCCAGCTCCTGAAATGAGTCTGATATGACTTAACAAAAACCAACTGTCAAAGCTAACATGGATTTCCATATAAGAATTTATTCAGATATTTTCTAATGTTGTATGACTTGCTTCTGTGTGTGTGCGTGAGTAAAAAGCTGAAGAGCAGAGACGACTAATACTTGGGCGTTTCCTCTGCTGTCACAAATGCAGCATGCACATGCTTTAATGGAGCTTGGAAGTTAGATGTCTGGGATACAGGAAGGATTTAGAGTTGTTGAATTTTGATACAATATCTGACTTCCATCTTGATATGAACACCATGGTAAACACATGGTGGACCTCATTCCTTTCTCATTGAGCTTCTCCCCTGAGAAATTCGCAAATGCCCAGAGAATGAGTCTGCAACAATGACCAGCAGAGGAAAAGACTGATTTTTTTTTTTTATTAAAAAGTGCAAACTTCCTGTGAGAACTGATTGAAAACCAGTTATTTTCATTCAGCTCTATACGACTCTTACTCT